CTTCTTTCATGTTGTTTAGGTAATGTATAATCTCCATTAATAAAGTACAGCTTTACTGTTCGTGTCAGATACTGTAGTTTTGGAAACACTAACATATTTCAGTATCTTCACAGAATGTCGAGGAAAAGACACAGTTTTCCAGCCATGAAGACAGCAGTGGGCATCTGAAAGAGAAACAGTAACTTTAGATTGTGAATACAACACAACAAGCTTAACTCCAACTCTGCTGTGGTACCAACAGAAAGATCATCACTCTCCAAAATATATTTTACTGAAACCTAAATTTGGAGCTGGAGATACAGCAGCAGAGTTTAGTGAGAGATTTCACTCCAAACTCAATTCCAGCACAAGAACAGCTCCACTGATGATCCAGAAGCTGAGTGTGAGTGACTCTGCTGTGTATTACTGCGCTCTGCAGCCCACAGTGACTACATAACACTCACAACCCCAACAAAAACCTACTCAGCTCAGCTCACACTGATGACAAGAGATGCATATAACGTTTACAGCAGCAGTGTGTGTGGAACTCTCTAAAAGAGAGTACATTATTATTCATGTTGATGGCATCAAACATTGATTTGAATATTCTAATTTTATTTGTGTTATAATATTATAAACATGTCACTACAATTCATGTAAAATACAGGAATTAACACAAAACATTGGTTCTGGGACTCTTTGGTGAAGCTGCTTTTCATGCCTCCTCAATCCAGCAGAGGTAGCAAAAGATGATGTGCAAATATTGTAACTGTGTTCTCTCATAGGCAACATCTCAATTGTATCATCTTCATCTTCACACTTCCTTTATAGGCCAAATGAAAGTATATTTTGTTGCTTTAACATAGCTTTTGAAATGTATAACATAATGATTTCAACATTGCAGTATAAAATGATCATCATCATATGCCTTAATTTTAAATGACTAGCACAATAATGTCATTTATAAATGCTAAATATATAATTATAAATAATTTTCACCCAATCAGGTTTTGTATTTCTAGCTGTATGTGGCCAGCATTTTTAAATAACATTCAAAAACACAATGCATGGACAGGAAATTAGGTAATTTTACTGTGTGCTTACCAGAGTCATTTTTTCACAGGTAGAACACATCTTGCTATGACTAATTAGCTAAATTAAACACTATACATGACAGATATTGGTGTGTTTCCATTCTGTTGCTATAATATCTGAGCAAAGCCGTTGCAATATGATTATACCAGTGAATTACCATGGTTTTCCAAATGAACTTCAAAATGGATTTACCTTAACACCACCTTTACACACTTTAGGCAATGCCAGTGGCTACTTGTTTGTTTTTTGGCTCCAGTACAGACACCAGGAATTATTCATTTTTCTGTTGGGAAATAATTTTAAATCATATTTAGAATTTATTATAGCTTAAAATGGATATATGTAAACAATTAAGGATGGTTTTCATGTAATAGACATGTATGTTATTTATGCAATGTTTAATTGTGCCAAGTTTTCTCAATTGCTAAAGCACAAACCTCAAATGAAAACCACAGTTATTGAAACATTGTGTGAAAACCTCCACATTAATAGATATTTTGCTCACAGGTCTATATGTATTTCCCATTGCCTTCTTTCAGAATTCAACCGTATCACATTTTTGCAAATATTAAGTACAGTTGTCTTCATTTCTGACCAGAGATTGAGTAAGAACTGTTGATCACAATAGACCAACCAGCAGACGTAGCAATCAAACATGCATATTACACAAACTACTGTAATTTGATACTGATGAAGTCACACCTGCTAAAAATATTTTCCAACTTTTTACAGCAAAGCAGAACATCATGTGTGTTATTTGTGTTACACACAAATCATACATGCGTCTGTGAGACTTTGCAGCCCTAGACTAAAACAGACCTAGTAAAGCTGAAGTAAAGCTGTAGTGTTTTAGTGACTGCTGGAGTTTTACTGTGGAGTCAACAGAATGACTAGTCTGAAACTTTTGCTTTTAACGTTTCTCAATAATATAAATACTTTCTTTTTGGTGTGAACATCTTAATAAATGAAAAGATGCACTGGAACTCACCTGGATGTGTCTGTGCAGTACATTTGTAGTGAACAAATTCACATCCCAATCAAAGTCAAACACACAGTCAGCAACTCCACATGAAAAGATCTGAGAAAAAGTAGCTGATACATTAATTTTTTTCCGCATATACTTAAAGCAATTATGCTATATGATGTCAACACTGCAGAGTCTGTTGTCAGAATAGATTTCCAGTTCCAGTCAGGAAACCCTACTTAAATAGTCTTTGATGAAGTGAATTAAAGTAAATAAAAAAAGCATTTTAATTTTACTGTCTGTGAATCTCTTGTTTGTGTTTGGGGATATAATCTTAGTCTGATAACGGTGATAGACAGGCACAGCAAAATCTTCAGTGTGCAATTAACACCAAAGTCCAACTGAACACAAATAAATACTGAAAGAGTGAATTCAACATTGGAAGTTTTGGTTACACCTGTTACCAAGTATTATAATTACAGCAGCATTTATAAAAAGCTGCATTTCTGCATGCTTTCTTATTCATTTTAAACACTTCAATTGTTGAGCATGTATTTTGCTATTCTTGATTAATTTTTAGGCTTATGCTTGTGGTTCTGCTTTTATTTCTGCTTTGATCTTCCAGAAATACAGAAAGCACAGTGGAGCAGCTCCCCAGAGCAGGAGTTTCCTGTTGTAGTTTCTCACAACTGCACTCACTTCAGAGAGATTCACACTAACACACAGATCAGCATTAGAGCACTGAGAGCTTAAACACACTACTGACTCCATCTGACATATTCACAATGAAGAGAAACCTCATCATCATTCTCATCATCACATCAGGTACTCACTGTGAAGATCCATTTAGAATAAAACGCTAATTGTTTTTTTGGAAGATTATACATTATTAAAATAAAACATTTATGTCTTCTACTTTTCTTTCAGGTGTGTTTGGTGCTGATCAAATTAGACCAGAAGATCAGGAGACTGATGTTTTTAGAAAAGAGGGAGAATCTGTTAAACTGAAATGCTCTTATGAAACAAGTAGTAAAAATGTTTGGCTTTACTGGTACAGACAATATCCTAACAGAGCTCTACAGTATTTACTGCAGAGAGGAGCTCGATCAAGTAGTGGTGGGGACCACACTGCAGACAGAAGATTTGAGTCTGTTGAATCCAGCTTATCTACTGACCTCTCTGTTAGAGAACTAAGACTGTCAGATACAGCTCTCTATTACTGTGCTCTAGAAGTTGAAGCCCAGTGATACAAAGTCTCTGAGACACTTTACAAAAACTCACACACCTTCTGTTTGCTTTGAACAGCTGAGGTTAAATTTCTGAAGTGAAACAAATGAAAAAAAAAAAAAAAGTTAATGCACATGTGGCAGACACAGGATACAGTTTAATCTGGGAGCAGTGCAGGGTTTTTAGCATGTTTATCTGAAAGTAAATGCAGTATGAGACTAATGTAGTAAATGTGTGTGGTAAGATTACACTAGTCACAACATGTGTGAACAGAGCCTGTGGGATAACTTGGATAACCAGACAATAAAGGGAATAACTCCCTGGCAGGCCATCTATGTATTGGGCTGTATTGGTCAAAGAATGTTCACTAACTGACATAGTGTATCATGAAGCTATACTGCCCTAGGAAAGAAAAACAAGTGTTACTATTACAGCACAGGTTGATCTGCAGCATAAAAGTCCCCCTCATGGATAGATCGGGGTCTTAGCACAGCTTAGTGACACAGGCTCAGGCCACAATTGATTCATGCTTCTGTTTTTCATGTAGGAGTGTAAATCAAACATTTACAGATAAATCAAGTTTACAGAACATCAGGTGTTTGACTTTGAGGCAACAATAATAATGCAAATGGAAGGAAAAGGAACCAGAACATGTATACAACAAAAATTATGAAAATTCTGATTTCATATTTTTCAAATAAAGTTGTTTATAATATGGAAACAAGGATCTCAGATCTATTAACACAAAAAGTTTTAAGTTAAGGTTAGAGTAAGCTGGTTCCTGAATTGATCACAAGACAAAGAAATGACACACTTTATGATTCATACAGTTTAACCACCTCACTCATGACTGTCCATCAAACTTCATCATCAGGATAAGAAAGTAATGTGCATTTCAGCAAATCAATTCAGGTTGACAGGGCACACAGGAGACTGCAGTCGGTCTCCATCACTACCAAGTCAAAGAACTTCATTCTAAAATGCTGTATATCTTTGTATATCCAAAATAAAAAGTTTATATAACAAGTTATAAGTTATAAGTAATGAAACTTTATTTAAACTAATGTTAACCTTGATAAAGCATTGATATTTCTTGTGTTAAATTTTGCAAGAAATAACTGTTATGAATTATATTTTCTATCACTACACATAAACACAGTAGCCTATCTTTCTGTTTTTGAGCTTAATCAGGCAAAAAAAACAAAAAGGTACTGCCAATACACCAACAGGGGGAGACATATCAACACATCACCATTCCTGCCTTGGAAATGCTGCTCCATCCTTTAAGCAAAACAGTATCTGTGTCCCAGTAAAGACTAACCCTAAAGGCAGACAGACAGAGAGCAGCTGGCATGGTTTGCTGTTGATGGGTTTTGCATGATGAACTGCTTTACCAGGACAAATTTTCTGCCGACTCTGTTAATACTTCATGTTGCTCAGGTAAAGAACAGTCTCCATTCATAAAGTACTGCTTTACTGTTCATGTCAGATACTGCAGTTTTGGAAACACTAACATATTTCAATATCTTCACAGAACATCGAGGAAATGACACAGTTTTCCAGCCATGAAGACAGCAGTGCATGTAACATTTACAGCAGTGTGTGTGGAACTCTCTAACAGGGAATAGATTATTATTCATGTTTATGCCATCAGACATTGATTTAAATATTCTAATTTTATTTGTGTTATAATACTATCATTTTATAATTATTAGTCATTATTCCATCACAAAAACATGTCACTGCAGTGAATAGTTGTCATATGTGTCCACCAACAACACTGAGTTACAGTCATTAATGTGGAAATAGCACTTCCTGAATCTATTATCCTGAACTCAGTGGACAGTCAACATTTCAGCTTGAAAGGATCAGATATCTGCTCAACATCCAGTGAACTGTTTCTTCAATAAACAGTATGTATTATTGAAAAGATCCAAAGCATTTAAAAAGGAGTGTCTTTCCTGAATGCTGAAGGGTTGCACACACTTGAATGTATAGTTATTATTACTGTAGCTGACAATGCAATTAATATTTTCATCATAGAACATGTAATCTAAATCATATAATAAGAAGTCAATGATACATTAAACAAGACTTTCTGAAACATTTCTTGATTTAATGATTATAGACAAACATCAGAAATTAAGGACACAGACACAAGAGTGTTTACACATTACATTTTGTCATACTTTCATAATGTTTATTAAGTCATCTAAAGAAACAGCTTCACATGCATTCTTCACTGCTGTCCACACAACATCCAAAGTGGTTGGATTTGTCAGTGGAAAGAGACCACCATAGGACCACTGCTGACCAGATATGAAGATACAATCTGGGTGATAAAGTATTACCAGCAGTGTCACTGATATGATGTAGTAATGTGTGTGGTGTTGGTACAAGTGCATGATGTACAGCAGTGTGTCTGGGATTTTTAAACAGCTCAGTGTCACTGCTAAGTTGAGAGTGGTCGATCTTCCAAAACAACCAGCCAAGAGTGGTAATGGTCAAAAAGTGACCATTGATGAAGGACTAGAGGATGGCTAACACAAACTATGTTTCAACAGTCTCTAACCGCACACCAGCATGTGGAGCTACAGTGGAACAGTTTATGTGTTTGACACTCTGATCAACTCAGTGTAACTGCTGAGAACAGTCCACCACCCAAATAATATCTGCTTAAAAATGAATGGGGTAAAGGTTGGACAATGGCCAGCTACAGTGTGTAATTATACACCTAGCGGTCCTATAAAGTTAGTGAACATCATCAGTACAAGGCAGAAATATCTGATAAACTGGAAACTCAGTGTATGTGCATCTAAGAAATCATTTTTGACTGCTAGCATATATTTTAGATGTCGCATGCTTGTATAGAAGACAAACAGGTTGTCTGTTGGTAAAATGCCTCTCATATTATTTTGCGTAACACAGCAGGAGTTGACTATAGGAAACTGTGAGACACTGTGCACAAATGAGGAATGTGGCTCCGTTCCACAACAAAAGCAAAAACAAACTAGCAAAACTGTAAAAAAAATTCTAAGCCGCTTATTCTCCTGGGTTGCAGGTTGTTGGGCAGAAGGCAGGAAACATGCTGGGCAGGTCACCAGTCCATAACAGCAGACCAGAATATCTAAATAATAAAAATAAAAAAAAACTTTCCTAAATAAAAAAAAACACTTGAAAAAAAGGATAATATGGAAACATAGAACATCAGAGATATATTCACAGAAAAACATGACCGCAGTACATTGTGATTGAGTGTATGAGCTGCATTATGGGTGGAGCTGTGTATCTCAGCAGAGAGCTACACTAATCCCATTCAGCTCTGACTCTGCTCTCAGTCACTTCACATCTCTATCAACATGCTGCTCTCTATCCTTTCTCTCCTAGCACTGCTTTTAGGTAAGAGAGTGTTTATGACACTTCTTTTCTTAACTTTTATGAGAAAAAAAAGAAATATGAAAAACAGTAAAAAATTTAATTTAAATTCTAATAGCAGATTTATTTAAATGTTGTGTGAGAGATTCCAATTTAATTTCTTCAATATTGTTCCGTTTCCAGGAGACACATCAGCACAGACAGTTGTGCCACTGGAAGGAGAAATGCATGTTTCAGAGGGTGATAATGTTACTCTCTCCTGCAACTACAGTAACCAGTATGGTGGTGATGTTCTCCAGTGGTATCGTCAGTTTCCCAGATCCAGACCAGAGTTTCTCCTGTATATTAACCTCCATGCATCTAAGAGTGATCCTCCTCCTCGAATGTCTGTTGAACTTGATCAAGACAAAAAGCGTGTGGATCTGTTGATCTCCTCTGCTGCAGTTTCTGACTCTGCACTCTACTACTGTGCCCTGCAGCCCACAGTGACAGGAAACCCAGCTACACTGTACAAAAAAAAACATTAGATACTGTACAAAGCCTGTGGATTAATAATGTTATCTCTGTTGTCTCAGAATGTATCTGTGTAAAGATTTATAACTTTACAACTGAATTTCATTTTAGACCACGTCAAACTGAAGAGATCTTACAATTATATCGGCAATATGACATTTCTCTGGAGTTCTGATAATACAGATTAATATATGTAATTCTCTGCATCTTTAGGAACACAATTCTGACCTAAATTAATACCTGTATGTTTAGTCTCGGGGTGAGATATTGTTCTGACACAGATGTAATGAGGGAAATTGTCCACAGGAGGGTAAACTTCATCTAGTCTTTACTGAATACTACAGCAGTTTTGTTCAATCTAAAGTGATAGTAAAGAGAAGAACTGTTTCAAACATACTTAAGAACCAGTGTAATTATTTCATGTAACATAAACAATTAACTTAGACACTTTAAAGTCCTTCACATTAGATTTTATTTCAGGTGAATGCTTACAGTTTGTATTATTAGTCCTCTTTGTCAAAAATATATATTTTTCCAATGGAAGAAAAAAGTGGTGATTAAATGTTGATGAAAGAAATGTGATAAGACATTTATGTAAATGAATGCAGGATATTATTAATTATTTAATAACTTAACGTTAGTCTCATACTTCATGTAATGATTGGAATATCTAAAACTGTAAGAAATGAAGGAGTTTGTTAAGTTCCATATATTAAAATTAATTTTTGTAGTTTAATACCTCTGTGCTAGTTGCATTATTTTCAGTCAGACAAATGGTTTTCTGTATAGGAGCAGATGAAAAGGAAGTATTTACTGTGAAGGAATAAGATTTTTTTTTCTCTTACACGCTCTCGTTTCTTCTGTTTTTATTTGTAAGGTGGTTATGAATAAAGGAGTCGAGTAACTTTAGAAGTGTGTCTTTTGTTGAGTAACAGTGACTATATGCATTTTCAGAAGGGGCTTTAGGGGCGTAGTATGCAGAACTACACCACACGTGCCTCTCCCCCTTCATTAAAGGACATTTGCTGTTGTTGTTGTTGTTGTTAATGTTGTCATTTGTTTAAGATGTATTAATGTGTTCACTGTGTTTAATTGTGTCTGTGGGTTAGTTAGGTTGGGTTTAGTGTCTACTGTAGAGTGAAGCACTACGGCTGGAACTGAATTTCCCTACTATTCTCACTGTTATTCAATGGCCTTTTCTGTTTTGTTCAGTAAAAGTGCATTTCCTTGAGCACAAACAATGGCTTCTTCTGGTTGTTCTTCACCATCGACACCACAGTATTCTGAATATGTTACTTTTTATGTATTATAATGGAATACATTACTGAATATATTAAGGACAGTGTATTCAGTATTCAGCCATCACTACTTATTTAAAGTGTTCTGCCCAACTTTGAGTGTACATGATAAATAGATTTTCAGAATCATACAGTAATGATGTTCAAAAAGAGATCAGATGGAGGAATTTTATTTTCACTGATGCAGAAACTGTGTGACTCTATCATGTTCTGAGGCCCACTGTCACTAAACCACATTCACAGTAGTACATACATGTCTCTACTGTTCTAGTTATCTTATTATTATAGCTTTTATATTTATATATCATTTTAAAACAGATAACTTTTAACAAAGTGTGTATAAAAAGCTGTAGTAAGCTGTATAAATACATACATGCATGTATGTGTATTAAAAAATAATATATAGGGTTAGATTTACTCTTTCTCTTGCATTTTATAAAAGATGCATATGATTATCGTCTGATGAACACGTTTAAATGTTAAAGTGCTGAACTGTTCAAGGCCTCACACAGTTTATAACATACAATAACACAGTTATATGTTAATGATGAATTAAAATGTGTGTGACTCTGCTGTACTGAGAGCCACTGTGACATCATCACATTCAGCATTATACACAAACATGCTGTTCAAAACAATAAGCCTACAAATGCGCCAGTTCATATCATGTTAAAATCAACTTACAAACCACATATTAAGAATTAAATCCTGAACAAAAAGAATTAGCTGACATGTTCATGTCTCAATACTTTTATCTTTTGTGATGGTAAAGCACAGTGGAGCAGCTCCCCAGAGCAGGAGTTTCCTGTTGTAGTTTCTCATAACTGCACTCACTTCAGAAAGATTCACACTAACACACAGATCAGCATTAGAGCACTGAGAGCTTAAACACACTACTGACTCCATCTGATCATATTCACAATGAAGAGAAACCTCCTCATCATTCTCATCATCACATCAGGTACTCACTGTGAAGATGTGCTCAGAAGTATTTGAACAATGACATTTTATTAAAATTTCAAATACTCTTTCTATTCTATGTGTCTTTCAGGTGTGTTTGGTGCTGATCAAATTGGACCATCAGTAGATCAGGAGACTGATGTTTTTAAAAAAGAGGGAGAATCTGTTACACTGAAATGCTCTTATGACTCAAGTAGTGAAGCTGTCTATCTCTACTGGTACAGACAGTATCCTAACAGAGCTCTACAGTATTTACTGTATAGAGGTGCCCGATCATGGAGTGGTGATGACAACACTGCAGACAGAAGATTTGGGTCTACTGTAACCAGAACATCCACTGAGCTCACTCTTAGAGTAGTAAGACTGTCAGATACAGCTCTCTACTACTGTGCTCTTAGAGTTGGAGCCCAGTAATACAAAGTCTCTGAGATGCTTTACAAAAACTCACACACTTTCTGTTTGCTTTGACCACAAAGAGATCAAAGTAACAGTCAAACCACAGTGTATTGTCTGTTACTACACTCTCTCGGAAATAACTGTTTGTGGTAATGTATGCGAAAGAAAACAGAAGGAAAGAATGAAAAAATTAAAGATGTAGAAAATTGAGCTGCTGTTTAGGTGAGACAAAGGCCTGTATAGGTTTCCTAATGTCAGCAGTTGAAAAAACGTTACAGATCTTGGCAGTGGTGTGTACAGACCTTGGCGTGGACAGGGGCTGGATAAGTTTATTTTTTAAAAGTAAATAAAAATACCATTACAGATAAAGTTATTCTGTTAATCTGTATGCATGTCAGATTTTAATCGTTCATATGTAATGTATTTTCAAATCAGTTTTTCTTGTTGCAAGAATCAAGAAAAGACCTAATCCTAATAAATAATCTTTTAAATAAGCACAGTTGAAATTTAATATTCAAACACCTTCTTTAACCAGATTATATTTAGCTTATCATTGAGTTAACAGATCCACTGATGATGCAATAGCCCTGACTCTACACACTGCCCTCTCCCATCTGGACAAAAAGAACATATATGTGAGAATGCTGTTTGTGAACTAAAACAAGTCTCGACATTAAGCTTCGGGATCTGGGTCTGAACAGTTCTCTGTGCAGCTGGATCCTGAACTTCGTGATGGGCCAACGCCAGGTGGGAAAGTTGGGCAACATCACCTCTTCCTCACTGACCCTTAACACCGGAGCTCCTCAGGGCTGTGCGCTCAGCCCTCTCTTGTACACCCATGTCTGCTCAGACAGACACAGCTTCAATGTTATCATCAAATTTGCAGATGACACCGCGATTGTGGGCCTGATCTCCAATGACCTCGAGGAGGCCTACAGAGAGGAGGTCAGCTTCCTGATACACTGGTGCCAGGGGAACAACCTCTCTTTCAATGTCGACAAGACCAAGGAGCTCATAGTGGACTTCAGAAAGCAAGAGAAAATGCACACCACCATCACCATCAATGGAGCTGCTGTAGAAATGGTCAGCAGCTTCAAGTTCCTTGGTGTTCACATCACAGAGGATCTGATATGGAGCGAACACACCACATGGGTGGTGAAGAGGGCACAACAGTGCCTCTTCCACCTCAGGCGGCTGAGGAAGTTTTAGCATGAACCCCCGCATCCTCAGAAGATATTACACATGTACTGTGGAGAGCATTCTAACAGGCTCCATCACCACATGGTATGGGAACTGCACTGCCATCGAGCAGAAAGCTCTGCAGAGGGTGGTGCAGACAGCCCAACACATCAACAGGGTCCAGCTCCCAAACCTCCTGGATTTATACACCAGCCGCTGCCTGAGGAAGACCAGGAGGATTCTAAAGGACTCCACCCACCCAAGCCACTGTCTGTTCTCACAGCTGCCGAGCGGGAGGAGGTACAGAAGAATAAAGTCCAGAACCAGCCGTTCCGAGAGTTTCTTCTCCCTGGCCATCAGGCTGCTGAACAGCCAGTAATGCTGGTGTATCGGTCTATGGGCTGATGGTGTATCAGTCTAGGGGCCGTTACAGCACTGCAGGAACACTGATGTGGTGGTGGTGTGTTAGTGTGTGTTGTGCTGGTCTGAGTGGATCAGACACAGCAGTGCTGCTGGAGTTTTTAAACACCTCAGTGTCACTGCTGGACTGAGAATAGTCCACCAACCAAAAACATCCAGCCAACAGTGTCCTGTGGGCAGCGTCCTGTGACCACTGATGAAGGACTAGAGGATGACCAACACAAACTGTGCAGCAGCAGATGAGCTATCATCTCTGACTTTACATCTACAAGGTAGACTGACAAGGTAGGAGTGTCTAATAGAGTGGACATTGAGTGGACACAGTGTTTAAAAACTCCAGCAGCACTGCTGTGTCTGATCCACTCGTACCAGCACAACACACACTAACACACCGCCACCACATCAGTGTTACTGCAGTGCTGAGAATGATCCACCACCCAAATAGTACCTGCTCTGTGAGGGTCATGGGGGTCCTGACCACTGAAGAACAGGGTAAAAGGGGGCTAACAAAGTATGCAGAGAAACAGATGGACTACAGTCTGTAACTGTAGAACTACAAAGTGCACCTATACAGTAAGTGGAGCTGATAAAATGGACAATGAGCATAGAAACAAGGAGGTGGTCATAATCTTATGCCTGATCAGTGTATATTGTATTTAAGTACTTCGCATCTGTGTAATGTGATGTGACAATAAATGTGATTTGATTTGATAAGTTATGTCGCAACACTTTACCAGGAGGTGGAGCTACTTAGCCTCTGCCAGATCAACACTTTGA